TCTACTGATATAGACCCAGATCTGCCTTCCCAGGTGGTCAAACAAGTCTTGTAGCATTTAAACAGAATAAAGCCTTTTATATGCACAGCACACAAGGGTGGGGATTAATACAAAAGGCTAGACAAAGCCAAGAAAATGGTTAGGCAGCGGTAAGAGTCAGGAAGGGGGAAGGACCCAGTGCTGCATATCCTTTAACATGTACATTTTTAAATGAGACGCAGTCCAAATTGTACTCTATCCATCTATAGCTCAGAGGTATAATCTCATTTATCAACATCCAGGCCAAGCAATACTGAAACTCAGCAACACTGAGGAATAGGGTTTTTCCAAGCTTTAGTAAGGGTTATTTGAAAATAAATGTGAAAACAAAACTGCTTCTTCAAAAGAAATCTGGCTTGCTTTGCATTGACATCTTTCTAATGTTCTATCCCAAAATAAAGTGTATTGTTCTGGATAGATAGCATTCTGGAAACATGCATTTCAAACTGGTAGATCCAGCATACACGGAATGTCTAAAGAACAAACAAGTGGAGGCTATTCTGAAACAAAATGACCAATCCTGAATGGAACCAGACACTACTGCAGTAAGGGTGTGATATATTGTATAATTTACACAATGTTGTCCTGATCATTCATATCAATAACAGCTTTATTTGGACATTTACTCAACTTTTTCTTTGCTGCTGAAAAATAGAATTTTTACAAGGGATGTAACAGCTCATCTGTGCTAAAACTACACCTTAAAGTGCAGTTCTGGCACCCCTTCTTCCCCAACACTCACAGGAAGTGGGTTGAGTGATGCTGGGCATACTTATCATGGCAGAGGAACCTCTTTGGCTCACAGAGCTGTTACTCCGCGGTGCAAGGTACAAAGAACCGATAAGTATTTTACTGGGAGCTGCATTTTTGGTTTTTAGAATTGCTTGGCTACTGAGTAAAAAATAATGCTGGAACTGGACTTTAACAGGTTATATCAAGATGAAGCTGCATCATTGGGTACCAGTGCTGCAGAAAGTCCCAGTGATAACTGATCCCTCTTTTTCTGGGTATTTTATCCTGTTTTGGAACCTACCCTTTGATTTAACACTTCCCAAGGAGATACTTTCTTCTTTCATTTTATACATGGAGCTGTGAGTCTAAGGGAACACCACAGTTTATTGAATGCTCTGTCGGCCCGCAGTCTGATACAGTGGCTTCTTTGTTGGCGAGCATTACAAATAATCTTGTCATGAATAAACATTTCCTTACAACCTCCTCTGTAATGTGTGATCTGAAACAAACAATGATTGTTCTTCACTGAGTGCATCGCAATAATGTAAATACCTCAGTTTATATGTTAAATTAGATGTCGGTATATGTTTGACTTTAAGTGTTGATATGAATTAGGCTTGGCATGAACAACTGGGGAAGTAGCAGTGCTGCCCATAGAAACCCCATTTTTTCTTCCACATTCCAGAGTATATTTAGGGTACTAGGACACTTTTCTGCATCTTTTCTATTAAAAGTAGAAATGCCATCCATTTATGCATTCATTCATTACTGTGAGGCTCATTTGTGTATTAACATGATCTTGTTGAGACCTAAGACTTACGGTACTACTCCTTCATCAATCAGCATCTGATGTGTCCTGAAAGACTAAATCTGATTGAGGGTTGTGGGGAAATAACTTAAGATCTTAGCCATAATACTTTATCTCCCTTTATCACCCTTTAAAATATATCTACAGTATAAGGGTATCAGAACCTTTTCTAATGGCTCCAGGATACACTGCCACACCCTCCTGGGACATTTATATGTACAGTTTTTAAGTTTATTTCACAGGGAAAATATTTTTTCTAAATCATTATTCCATTTCACCTTTTATTATTAAGATACCTATACGGGCTCCTTTGAATTTATTATGCTTATGACATTTTCTTTCCTTTTGCTGGATAAATATACAAAATGTGTTCTGTCACCCTCTAGTGGTGGAAGATGTGAATGCCACCCATATTTTCATAGGCTGTCAAATTTCTACATAGCATCCAAACCTCACATCCTAAGAGTAAACCAATATATATATGTACATATATATATACACACACATACATATATATTATTTTTTTACTAGTGTATATGTAGTGTGTAGAGTTTAGTATAGAAGATTCTATAATGATGAAAATTGTCTGCCTCTTCAATAGATGTGACTACTCATAAACTAGACCTAAAGAGTAGCGTATAATAATAATCTGATCTCTCTTCGATTCATGATCTGTGGTCCATGAAGAATCTTGGTTGACACTGTATGTTTAAGTTTACTTATCTCTCCTATAGCACCAAAACCGATCACTATTTGTATAGGAGCTGTAAGAACTTGGCTTTACAGCGCATATGTAAGCATGGAAATAAAAAAAGTATTCTTTTCTGTGGATAGAAATATTAATCTGGTCAAATTAAGGCCAACTCTGGTCCATCTGTGCTTTTTAGTAAACAAATGGTGCTTCCGCCATTATTGTACATACAATTAGCCCTCAGTTTTTAAGTGATTGGGGCAACACATTAAGATTTCATTATATTTGTCTTTAAACATTAAGAAACAGTATTGGTATCCATGAGCTCATAGGCACAGTGCAGCTAAAGTCGGTCTGCGTTGGTACTAAGGCAGTATTTTTCTTTATGCAATAAATGGGGATCTGGCAACTCCGCACAGGTTAAAAAAAGTTATATTTGTTGAAGCTTAGAGTGAAGAAGGTTGCCAGACCACAGAAATCACTAAGAACAGCCTGAATTAGCTGCTCTACCAATTTCCCGTCTGCCATTAAATTTCTGGGTTGTAGTTGATTCACAGTCTTACGCACTTATATAAATTCAAGATAATGAGCTCAATATATAATGAGCTAACCTTTATCTCCTATTCAGTGTGACGTTTAGTCACATTACTGCATTATACATTGCAGTGACAATCCTGGATGCCCAGTGCTGCCACATTCAGGTTTTCTGTTTTATCTTTCGTGAATGTACTCTGTGTCCTGAGCCAGGCCCCTAGCAGATTAGATATTTCTTTCTGTTCACTTGGTTCTCTTGCGATCCACTTTTCTTTGGGATACCAGAACAATAGTAAACTCTTAAGGTGCCCATACACCTTATGATTATCGGACGAAGCTTTTCGTCCAATGATCGAACCGTAAAGGGTAACATCTGGAAACTGCATTATGCTAAAAAAAAAAAAAGGGTTACTCCTTTGTGCAGAGAAAAACTGCAGGTGCAAGTATATTAAAAAAAAAAGAATGTTAGTGATAATTACGTCAAAATGTTTTAAAGCTATTTCAAAGGGTGATTAAATCACTTACAATGGATGCTTCAAAGTTTGTTCCCTGAAGAATCAGCTGGTCCTCTGAGCATTAGCCCTGATATGCTGTTTTAGGATGGCTCTTTTCCGTTGAAGGATCTTATGGAGCCAACCATGTGTGTGCTAGTAAATTGTGTCCACAGGCACAACAAAGTAAGTCACTCCCCTGCTCCTCTACTTTCTCCAAGCTAGTAGATGGGCAGCTGCTGCGGACTGCTCTGTCTCTTGTAATCTTGTACTCCACAGGAAGTTCAGGGAAGCTAATCTGAGAGGTTTGGACCCAGCTGTTCAGAAACATGATGATTGTAAATGTTTAGGCAAAAATGTACAGAAATACTTTGCTGGGCAATGTATATTTGTTTATTCCGGGCCGGCCGTTTTTCTACTACGGCCGGCCCGGAGGCAGTTAAAGAAACTTTATGAAGTAGCTGCCACTATGTTTCATAGCTGCATTTTTCTTCTGAGCACTGACAAAATATATATTATCTGAGATTGTCTCTAGTGATGACATTTCCAAAGTAGGCAGAAGGATGCAAGGACACAGGCTGGTGATCTACACCTGTGTTTTGAAAATTGGCAAACATTGGACAACCCTAAAGGATGAAATACACTTAGATCATTTATAATTCATCTGCAGGCCCTCAATCTCCCAGGTCATAAGAACCCCTTCTCTTCCAGTAAGACATGTACCTGTAACCGAAATGGTAAAAACAGTAACATATTTGACAACAGTTCACTCTAATAATGGCAGTTCATATAATGCAGTTTTTAAATGCACAATTAGGCGCATACTTCTACAGGCACAGAATGGTTGGGTTATGCGTTATACCGTTTAGGCCTACTATTGCCTATAGCCTTGCCGATACTGTGTGACCATTATTTAAACCCCAAATAGTCTATTAAATATTCAGAATGCCCTGGAGGGATATAAAACCTCCTTTTCTGTTTATTGTTTGGCTAATAGACTATTTAAAATTACTACACAACCTCTTTGAAAATAGATCAATATTATCATTAATTATCCGCATAAAAAATGCAGCAATTCTTGATATTATTCGACAGCCAGACTCTATGTATAGGGACCATTAAAGCTTGAAGTCAAGAAAATATAACTTAGTCTGCAAAGGGTTATGTTTTTTTCCATAGCATACATGATACATTTATAGTCTATGTGACCAGCATTGGCATTATAAGGTCCATAAATCAAACAGCCTATTCCTATACTACTACTCACATTTAGATTTAAATAAGTTTGCTTCCATTGTTATATCTCAATGCAGCTTTGTACATCTCGCTCAGCGATTCACTTTTTCTGCTTAAATTATATCTAAAGCCCCAATTTATGTATTTTTTGGTCATAGTAAGGAATGGGTAAAACCCATCACAGGTTGTTTCCATCTAGGTCCCCTTGTGGAGAATTACCTTCGCTCACTGTCCTATAGACACAACAGAAAGTAAGAGAAAATTTCACCTAATAAGGAAAATCCTCTGTTAGCCAGTTGTACCCAGAACCAGTATCCCTATTGCAAAATACACCCTATTTCATAGATGAGCTCCCAAAAAAGAAATCTGCTGTACCACAGTGAAATGTTTATGTATTTATATGCACAGCATGCTATGGGAATGACATGAAAAAGATATTTTCAAAGCCTGTTTCTTCTTATCTTTTCAGGTACCACAGAGAGGGTCTGTCTGATCCAGGGCACCGTCGAAGCTCTCAATGCCGTCCATGGGTTCATTGCAGAGAAGATACGAGAAATGCCACAAAATGTGGCCAAGACCGAGCCAGTTAGCATCCTGCAGCCTCAAACAACAGTCAATCCCGACCGCATTAAACAAGTATGTGTTCTGGGTCCCACTATTGTTATTGGGAACAAGTACCTGTGCTCTAGTGTACTGAGCAGGCTTACACAGGAATGGATGAAATAATATATTATTTAGCAACATTAAAATATGTTTTGCATGGCTTGCAGGCTTCTGTTTCTCCAGTCCTGGGTTAACTGATTAATTAAAGAGCCAGTCCACACTAAACTAATATCTCCATTTTTGGTAGATGATGAGACATAACCCACAGGAACATGTATTTTATCCCTGGGACTTTATTGGTGAGATCTCTGCATACCTACCATGGTTATTATGAGGGCCCCCCATTCTCCTTGTTTTTTTGTATTTATTCTATATTATGAACAGAAGAGATTAGAACATACAAAGGTGGGCGGGAACAGAATCAGGAACTATGGTAGAGAGATCTTACTGCTGGAATGTCCAAGAAGCTAGGTAATGACTCAGCCCATCAAACACTACCTATAACTAAATATCACTTTGGGGTGGACTGACTCTTTAATAGATTATGAAGAGTGGGCTACTTGGATGAGGCCATTTGTTCTATATTGTTTCTCTGGCTGAGCTGGGGTGCTCTGTTGGCATTTAATATAAAACGTTGTTAACATACTGAACGTAAGATTTTCTAACCCTAGGATATTAGAACAGGCTAGCCATATGGCAATTCAGGACATCAAATGACAAAAGCTTGAATTGCTTAAGAAGCCTATACATTGCATTGCCCTGGATGACTGTATGCATATCCTGTGCTGTGTTTATAATGGTCATTGATTTTTTCCACAGTCCATTTACATTATTGCATTTCTAATGAACAGCAAATAGAAAGCAGCAAAGCTCAGCTAGAGTCAATAGTAAAGACTGAATGTCCATGTACAAAAGCACCTCTAATTCTTCTTCAGTCTTCAAGAGACACTCCTGTGCCATATTTTGTTACTGTTCATCCATTTTTAACTAACCAGACTTATTCAGATATAAAGCATATAGTATACCAGAACATACTCAGGGAGCATTGACAAACATATTGAGCACATCTAACCAGAAAAATATCGAATTAATTATCACATTTTGTTAGATATTTTCTCTTGGTATGTTATACATTTCTTTCACAACCATACTGAGGTCACATCACTACTTTTGTGGTTGAGTTTATCACTCAGCACTGAACATGTGCAAACAATTAATCAAGCACAATTGTTTTGCAAATCTACAAGTTTGTCATGATGAGTTACACTCTTCTCCACTCTTTCTGTTAAATGGCTGCCTTTCCTAGAAACATTAGGATCTTTTTTTTTTGTAATGTTTAGAAATACTTGACACTATTTGGCTGATGTCATATGGGAAATCTCGTAGCAGATACAAATGGCTATTCTACTTAAGATTGATTCGTAGCTGTCAAATAGAATGCTGAGGCAGCTGGCAACAAAACAAGCCTACTTTCTAAAAGGCTATGCTTAAATGAACCAGTATTTTGCTCATTCAGTGCAAAATAGCAGGTTCACTTGATAGACCACCCCCAGCCCCTTTTTTTCCTGCTGGTCTTTACTTTTCACATATTCTCCCATTGCCTGTTTACCTGCCAAAGCTAACTGGTAATTTTAGGTATGCAGGAACATATACCTGTCTCCTGTTTCTTCCATTATACAGTGTTCAGGGCCTAAGAAACCAATTTCCAGGTCTAAGTACTGTCACATAGGGGTGAGACAAGACTTCTTAGCTTTATGCAAGCACTGCCCCTATGAACATGAAGAATACTTAGGGATTTTCACTCTTCTGGGTGAGCAGGATGCGGGTAGAGGGTGTGGGGAAGGTAAGTATCCAAAGTTAGGGTTCAATTTGTTAACTGACCCTTACTTACTATGAACAGGCAAAAGAAAGCTTCACATTAAAGACATAGGAATGATTTATGAAGGAAAGTGGATATCGGCATCTGCACTCCTCAGTGTTTGGAGCAATCTGTGCACTGCATTATATGAATCATTTAAGAAAAATAAGATTGCAGTGTAGACTATTTGGTGCATAAAGCTGTAGAGAGCATTCTGTGATGTGGGTAAGGTTGGTCATATGACTTTCACATTTATTAATTTGAATTAACTTGCTTCAAGGAGGGCACATCTGTGAACGTGGACCTCCACTTACATTTAAGCCATGTCCTCATCCTAACCCTCCTTACAGATTTTTTTTTCAGGGTCGCAAAGTACCATTTTAGCAGGTACTTGCTCCTACTTTCTCATTAGGTGAGGATAACGCCTTGGTTCACTCCCCTCCCTCCCTTCCCTGCAAGCTGCCTCCTGGGATACATGTAACAAATCCCAGAAGCTGTATGACAGTCTCAACCAGTTGGCATATCTCATGCATGCTCAGTAGGGGGCTGGCTGTGAGTGATCAGGAGGCCTGATCCTGATTCCAGGATGGCAGTGTGGGAACGAAAACAGTGGTAAAGACTTTGGGCTCTAGGAAGACAGAGTTGGACTTCTTGGGCTAGTAAGTGTGCCATTTAAAAGCCAGCAGCAACAGTACTTGTAGCAGATGACGTTTAAAGGAGAACTATGACTTAAGGGCAAATAAAAATACCCCTTACCTTGATTGTAGTAGCATCGTTCCTTTTTTTCTAAAGTCACAGCACATCACAGATAAAACCCTCAAAACCTGTAGTAAATGCTGAAGAGAGAGAGAGGGCTCCTTCCCCTATGTCATCAGCGATCCACGATCATTTTAGGATGTCAGTGTCACACAGGGCAGGGAGAGAGAGAGAGAGAGGGGGGAAGAAGCCCGGCTGGCACACGGGGACGTGCAGGTAAGGAGAGAGCTGCTGCGCATGTCCATATATTCGTGGACGCGCAGCAGCTCTCAAGAATCACTGTCAGTCACAGTGAGGAAGATCAGTGGGAAGGATCCCGTCAGATACGTCGGGATGTCTCCTCATTGCGGCGCTTAGCCCCGCCCACCACCTTAAATAAGGGTTTACAGCCTTACTGTGCATTTTGGCTAATTAGAGTAAATTACATAATTTACTTATTTAGGAATGCCTAAATAAGTAATGCATTAATAAAGAAAAGATAGAACCCCATAGTTCTCCTTTAAATTTTTTAAAGCCTGGTTACATTCCTCATTAGGAACTATGCTTTATGAATGTAACTTTTTAAAACGGAGAAGTATGTCCAAGGTAAGGCCATACCACTGTCTTATAAATCACTCCCTAAGTGAACCCAAAACTGCTATTTTGGTTACAGATGGATGTTATTGGGCCGCATTTGGCTTCTTACACTTGTCTGGGGCACCTTACCCATCTCTGCTCTCTACCCTGGCTCTAATCCCAGTCTCTTTTTTTACTCTTGCATTCCCTGTAATGTAAAATAAATGGAAATTTCAGCAGCAAGAGAGAGACACTCATGTAATGGCTGACAAATGAAGGAGGGCAGAGAAACTTAGGTGACGATATTTTGTACAAGAGCTCTAGGATTCTGCTGGCTGATTCAGTCTTGATTGGACTGGAACTGAGAAAATAACAGTTACACATTGTGTTTGCTTGCTATTTTGACATGGCCCTTATTGTTGATTGGAACATTAGATTTAGCTTTTTTCCAGCTATAATGAAGTATTATACATCTGTGCCAGCAGAAATATGCCAGCCAGCGCACACATTACTATTAATATATTTTCTCATAAATTTCATGCAAAAACAAAACAACAAACCACACATCAATGTTCAGTAGTATCACCATTTATTCACCATTATGAAGAATACACAATACTACCATATATTACATTATGTATTCCAATAAAGCTAATTATTCTACACATATCAGATGTACAGCCAGAAGAGTTGAGTCAAAGTTTATTTATTTTATATTTACATAACAATGGCAGGCTGATGTCTCTTGATCACTGACAACCTACAGTAGTTTATTGTCCTAAATAAAGATATAATTTTTTACAGTACAGTGTATTGACCATAATGTTTATGAAAATGCTTTGTGACTCATTATTTTGCTATTTTTGTGAAGCAAGAGGGGTGTTCTTGTTTAAAAACATGAATTGTTAAGTGGTCTTGTATTCAGTGTATGTCATTTACTAGTATGGTGTATACCTTTTTTAAAATATTAATGCTTGGCTTGGCTTTTTATTCCATGTTAAATAGTTTTCTTGTAATTGCTGTACAATGCTTAACAGGCCACTGCATAAATAAAGCAGCCCCTTTAAAGACCAACTGCACTCGAAAAAGATCTGTCATTTTTGAGTGGGCACCAGTGGGTCGAAAAACGTGCCAACTCCGATATCTTTTTGAAATGCCAGTGGAGGGATTCTCCTGCAACATTTTGCAACCCCTTACACAGAAAAAAGACCAGAACAAGGGTGTCACTCTTTGGTTTGGTTTTGTAATTGGAATTGTATTAGAGTGCATCTGTGAGTTCGGGTGCGAATATCTCAACACTAGGGTCTTTGTGAAAATAAAAGAACACAGCTAATCATTATTTCATAGATACATAGCATCTTCAATGATAATTCCTATTGAATAGTCAGGCTTCCTTTCAAAAAGAAAAAACAAGGAACCAGTTACATAGTAAGTCTGGAGGCTTCATTCAAATCAATAATTCTTAGATAATCGATAAGGTCAATTCTTATAAATACAGATTCCACAGTTGTCAGTGAACACTTTGAATGGCTTAGTCTATCACTTGTGAATTCATTGACACGCAATTGTGGGGTTATGTGAACAATAGCCTTTCTGCAGCAGTTATTTTCATGTAAATCCTGAAACACGCAGAAGGTCTGGAGTGTGCTGATTGGAGGTTTTAAATTATTAACCCCAGTGGCCCATGTGTAATTGGGCAAGAGCAAATATCACCCCTGCCTCTGCAAATGATCAGTGGTTTTGTAACACATTGCAATTAATCAAACTAATTACATTAGCCGCAGGATCCAACGGTAGTTTGTGACCATTGCGCAGTGCGGCAACTGTGAACAACTATTGCAGGTCTACGAGACTTACAGAGTTAGATTAACTGTATTTAGTTATAAAATCCCTGATGAGTAGTGCTATCAAGAATAGCATGATTAGTATGGACTGTACTGTGTTGTAAACCCTCTCCTCTCATATAACAGTACATCGGCTACACCATTATATAATCTCCTGATTCTGGTTCCTCACATGTAGTAGCAAAATGCCAATTTGCTTTGACATGAATATGTTGCTTCTGATGGGATTTTGTTTTTTCCTTTCTATCTTTCCTGGTGAAATAGTTTTGATTTTTGTCACTCTTCCAATGTCATCCATCCTCCTCTCCACCCTTGCTCTTCCTGAGAATGCTTTTTACTTTGTTTTTATGTTTACTCCTCCTTTGGTTGGGCTCCTTCAATGCTAAACAGTGTGTGCCCCATTGTGGCTTTCCAGCCTGTTGGCAATGAAGGGGTCATTTTATTACTAGAGCTGACTGAATTCTGCTTCTGATCCTGCTTTGTTCTGCAGACATTGTCATCATTACCACCAGCCACCAAGTCCTCTCCATCCGACCCCATGACCATCTCCAGAGCCAGCCAGGTACAGTACCATTCTCCATGTCTCATATTTTTCACACAGAAAAGTACAATTCCATCCACATGCCAGGGATCACCATTAGCTAAATTCTCACTTACTTGATATGTATGTATCGTTCACATCACATTGTATAGTATACAAAGGACTTTTTAAAACCAAGATGAAAACAAGAAATGTTGCCTACAGCAACCAATGGATTCCAGCTTTCTTTTTGTGCAGTGCAAGTTAAAAAATTAAATAAAAACTTCAACAGGTTGAGCTGGGCATAAGATCTAGATTCTCTTTGTTGTAATGTTTTAAAAACAAAAATAATATAAAAGTTTAAAATAATATTCACAACCAGATTCTGGCAAAATATCAACACTTGCAATGAGCAATGAGTTCACAGCATCTTGTAATTACTGGTATATCATATAATCATGTGTCATTATATAATATAGAAAAATATGAGTTTACTAAGTGACGATAGATAGATAGATAGATAGATAGATAGTAAAAATAATATAAAAGTTTAAAATAATATTCACAACCAGATTCTGGCAAAATATCAACACTTGCAATGAGCAATGAGTTCACAGCATCTTGTAATTACTGGTATATCATATAATCATGTGTCATTATATAATATAGAAAAATATGAGTTTACTAAGTGACGATAGATAGATAGATAGATAGATAGATAGATAGATAGATAGATAGATAGATAGATAGATAGATAGTGATATGAATATTAGCAAACGTGATCTTCTAAAAGCAGACTGAAAAGGTTAGCCAACAATTGTGTCCAGTTTCTATGAGCGGATTTTATTCCACAACATACAACAATCGGGTTCCTATTTAGGATTCCAATTTCCATTTGCCATGGCATATGTAAAACTGAAGATCGAGGGGGGGGGGGATGTTGGCACTCAATAATACTATAATACTCAAGCCCCACTTCATTTAATATGAATACCAATGGGCATCATTGCTTAAACTGTCTGAAGAAAAATGCTCTGTTGTCCATGTCACCCAGCTAGCCATATTCCTTTTATTTATAAGGAATAAATGTAAAATTCGAATTAGAGGTTGGCTAGTTGCTAATAACAATATGGCTGGTTGATGCTTTTAATCATGAAGTCAATAATTAATTATAGCGTTTGGTGATTCATATTACAAAAGATGCTTTTTCTCTGCTTCAATAAAGCAGATTTATAAAACAAAATGGAGAAAAGGAACATGTCTGTGTTACCCATAGCAATAGTCCATCTCTCAATATTCAATCTGCACTAGAAGTATGACTGCTGGAATCTCACTGGTCGGGCAACAGACACATTACACTTTCAGCATCTGGCCCCATTGTGGGAGAGGTTGATGTACTTTACAATTCAGTAAAATTTAAAACTGGCATTATTACTATTGTTGTTGATCAGCAGAGATACATTTAAATACATGCATAGGGACTTGAAAGAAAGAATAATGACCAGTTAGCTTATAACACCACTAGAAAAGATTCATTAAAACTTGAATTAATGATCATTTATACTATGGAGCCTATTTATAAAGATCAGCAATAATAGGTTTTTGTTTAGTCATACTGAACCATATGTCACCACCTTTTTTCCATTTTATAGAATTTTGAAATCATAATACGCTAGATTAAAAAAATGTAGGAAAGTAGACTGGACATACATTCATAAAAAAAAAAAGAAAACTCCTTTCACTTGGCTTTCCCCCTCCCTCCATTGAAAATTATAGATTGCTCCTGGTTTAGGGTGATCTAAATTATTGGTGACATTTTTTTGTGTGTAAATATTATAAAATTAGATTTTTAAAATCCAATTTACAAAGAGATTTTAATTGTTTATTTTTACCTTGGTGAAAATATAGCAAAAGTGAGTAGAGGCACAGCTTTAAAATTTAAAATGTTAATTTGATCTCTATAAATAGGCTTCAAAGTTTTGCCAAACACTAAAACTGCCATTTCTCAGATAATCCATTGACTTCATTATTCTCTGCATTGGTTTCAGGAAATTTTACTTTACCGAGTTTTGGTTATTTTTATTTTTAGAGTAATTGTAACATATACATTTTTTTTAAATATTGCTATTGCTTAGGTACAGTATGAAACAGAGATATGAGATGTGATACGATATATAAAATGAATGTTATATATTATAAAACGCTTATATAAAATATCTATATTTATATAGATAAATTGTTAAAATCCAAAGAGTTAATTATTTAATATTATGTGATCTATTACTACAACTACTAATCCATCATATTCAGCTTTCCAGCAATGGGACTTGATTGTTTAGTTTTGGTTATGATACTGTGAATCCCTACAGGCAGCTCATAGTGGTTGGCTAAAGAGATTTTAGGGCAGACTTGAACATCCAAGCAGCCCAGATCCCTGCTGTTTTTCGGCCCACATATGCATATGATTTAATTTAAAACAGCCAAGTTAAATATTTCTCATTAAACTTTAAAGGTATGTCCTTCCAGTTCTAAATGTGTTTGCTTTCAGCTAAGTTGTCTTCAAACAGGCATAAGAGCGGCCCTCCATGGTGTGATAATTGCAAGCTCTGCACCTGGTTTACCATTGAGTTTTCCACAGGGGTGATAAAGAGCATTTTAGATGCAACTGTTATGATACAAAATATTTTCCAATTTGTTCAAAATCTACATGAGTGGGGTTTCTTGGAGAGAAATGATAATGTCATAACATTGATATATTATTAAGGTTAAGCATTCCACTGCGATAAACTGACGAGACCTATAAAGACCTATAAAGTAGAACTCCAGTTATCCTGTCTAATGTTTGTGATATGTTTCTTGGTTGTTTCAGTTCGCTGTTTCCTGAGACAGCCAATTGCACCATGGAAAACATTTTCACTTGCAACTGTTTTAGGTTACAACTTAGCTGGAAGTGACAGAAATGTACGGCTTGCCAGAGAAAACATGCTTGGAATAGTATTTATAATCTTGCATTTTTGCTTACATAGCAGTTAGTAATCAGATAACCAGTTCCAGCGCCATATGATAAACTGAGTACTGTCCTTCTATTTTAGGGTACAAAGAATGTATATAGCAGTTAAGCATATTTCCTTTATTTCGGTGCAGAAGCAACATACTCAATAACCAGCACCCAGCAGTGTGGGTCTCAGCTACAAGCCTTACATGCAAGAAGGATGCTACTGTGACACCCACCTCATGCAGAGGGGACAACTGATACCAGGCAGAGCTAATTAGATCAATCATTTCATTACAATGTTTCATTAAAGTCAATTACACTCTGAGCTCTTTGGTCCTGCCAGTGATTTTGTAATTTACGGGTGTTCACCTGCCTGTGAGCGCCTGTCAGGAGCTGTTCTCAACCCTCTGCATTTGGCCTGGGTGGCATTGAACCTTTAACCCTTTCCAAACAACATAGATGTCTCTGCTGATGCAGTGCTGCACAATCTTAAATTCTGTGACAAGCTTGACATTCTGACATGATTTAATTTTAAATACAAGGTAGGCAACTGAGATTCAAGATGATTGGAGCATAAAGCCCAACATCACTCCCAAATCCTAGAACTATTATTCAAAGAACGTAGAGGCCCGCAAACTCATGATACACATAATAGATGCAGAGATGCATCAAGACTAGAGATGTTTCAGTCTCTCATGTCTTTTTGAAGGCTTCTGATGCTGGCCACACATGTAAACTTACAAATGCTCAATGTTACAGTTGTTTCAGTAAACTATATTGAATTTAGAAATCAATGCATTATGTGTAAACAACATCTATTCTGAAACTTCGGATTGAAAATATATTGTTCTGTGTATGGTCAGCTTCAGAATAGTGGATATACAAATTATTATATTAGAGATTGACAGATAAGGTTGTTTTAGTTTATCAGGCAGGGCTTTTCTCACCCTAGATAGCATACCATTAGAACATTTATCCACATCTTGGACAACATTTTTTAAGAAAAGGAAGTGATCACTTTTTGATTACAGAACCTTTATAGCATGGCAGAATATCTCTGCCAGTAATAACTTGCATCACTTTCAGGATTTGCCAACTATGGGTCATGGGATAAGGTTAGCCTTATCACAAACCTTATCATTTATCTACTAATTTACAGCACAAATGACCACTGCATAGATTTCACATATAAAGTAAGTCATTTTATTAATGGCCTGACCTATTAACTATTTGCTATTAAAAAAATACACTGGTATGGGTTTGCTTATTTAAATTTATGTCACCTCAGAGTTCTGAAAGAATGTGGTTATTTGAAAGAGTAGGACAGTTTTGAACAGAAAAACATTTCGATTTAGCATCCATATTACTTATATTATACACTGGCTTTAGTATCAAAGGGTCTTGTTTCTACTCAAGAAAACTAAAAGTGGAGGTGTTGCTCACAAGCAGTTAGCCCTTGGAAAACAGCAGCATAGTTGGTGGTTACAGTAAATACCTGTACATAGTCTTGTATTCAGTGTTGATACATCTTTAAAAGCTTATCAGATGGTACTGGAACAATAGCTTTACATCTAACCAAAGTTATAAAATAATTATATGATATAGGTAGAATAATATATCATTTTCACTTTGTGGTTGTTTTTTTTTCAACTAGTTTTTGGCAACATTTTAGTTTTGGGTTATAGCGTGGGCTTGGTAAACCAGTTTTCTCCCATTATTGTATAGACCTGTTTGTGCTTGATATGCCTATACTAAAACCTAAAGTCTTACTAGAGAATAAATAAAAAGGACTCTTTACCTCCCTTACATTGAGGTTTTCAAGATTATTGATTCTTTAAATGTGGTTCTTAAGGTTATTGACTAAAATAGATGCCCATTATAATTTTGTCATATAACAATATATTTCACTTCCTTACTATCTCTCATCATACACAGACACCTCATTGAGATTTATGCTTCTTTAGCTTTCATGTGATTTCCATCTGTCTTTCTCTTTTTCTTTTTTTTATGGGTTCCTCTTCATGCTTTTTTGACCTTAGGTGAAGATCATCGTTCCAAACAGCACTGCAGGTCTGATCATCGGGAAGGGAGGTGCCACTGTGAAGGCGGTAATGGAACAGTCTGGTGCATGGGTGCAGCTTTCCCAGAAACCAGATGGCATTAATCTGCAGGAGCGAGTGGTGACTGTAAGTGGCGAGCCAGAGCAAAACCGCAAGGCAGTAGAGCTGATAGTGCAGAAGATCCAAGAAGACCCACAGAGTGGTAGCTGTCTGAACATCAGCTATGCCAATGTTACAGGACCTGTAGCTAACTCCAATCCAACAGGATCCCCTTATGCCAACACTGCTGAAGTTCTACCTACCGCTGCTGCTGCTGCAGGGCTCCTAGGACATGCTAACCTTGCTGGGGTAGCAGCTTTCCCCACTGTTCTCTCTGGCTTTACTGGCAATGATCTAGTTGCTATTACATCAGCACTCAACACCTTGGCCAGTTATGGTTACAACCTTAATACGCTAGGGTTGGGATTGAGTCAAGCAGCAGCCACAGGAGCATTAGCAGCTGCTGCTGCAAGCGCCAACCCAGCTGCAGCTGCAGCAGCCAATTTGCTGGCTACATACGCTAGTGAAGCTTCTGGGGGTGGTGGCAATGCAGGAGGAGCTGGGACGTTTGCACTAGGCAGCTTAGCTGCTGCCACTGCAGCTACCAATGGATATTTTGGGGCAGCATCCCCTCTAGCTGCTAGCGCCATTTTGGGGACTGAGAAGTCAACGGACGGCTCCAAGGACGTAGTAGAAATTGCTGTGCCAGAAAATCTTGTAGGTGCCATACTTGGCAAAGGTGGCAAGACATTGGTGGAATATCAGGAGTTGACTGGAGCCAGGATACAGATCTCTAAAAAGGGGGAGTTTGTCCCCGGCACCAGAAACCGGAAGGTAACCATAACAGGCACACCAGCCGCCACACAAGCTGCCCAGTATCTAATAACGCAACGAGTCACTTACGAGCAAGGTGTCCGGGCGGCCAACCCACAAAAAGTGGGTTAAATGACCTCCCTTTCCTTCCCTTACATGGATGTTAACTTAATTGTCCCCCTCTCCAGTCCCCTTTCTTCTTTTCATGGATGTACTGTATTTTACAGGAGCGATTTATATTTTATTTTTTATTTGAATATTCTTTTTTTTTGTTTTGTTTTTTTGTTATTGGCAGGGGAAGTGTGTGCGTCGGGTTATTAATATATAATTATGCAAATGAACGCAACAGTGTTGACAAAGCGCATCTGTAAATAATACATGTTCTACGGATGTTTTAGAGAGGGAATTTTTTAGTGTTTTTTATTTTTTTAAGTTTTTTAATTTTTATTTGAACGATTTTGACAGGTTATCTCTCTCTATCTCTCTCTCTCTCGTTGAGGTTTTATTGTTTACGCGTCAGAAAGTAAAAAAGAAAAAAAAATTTTTTTTGAAGCCTGCCATTTTACCAGCATTGTTGTAGTCGAAAATGAACTGAATGTAAACATGAAGTGACACACTAATTTCAATCTCTGTGAGGGCTGACGTGTCCAGTAATGCACTGCAGAGCCACGTGTTGCTGGTCCCTTCAGAATCACAAGGTAATCAGTATTAGTCCGTAGCGACGCTGTAACTGAACTACTGTTTTGCTGGAAAACAGCAGGAGGGTTGGGTGGGTGAGGTACCTATAAAACAAAAAGGGAGTAAAGAAAATCAAAAGCACTGTCCAACTTCACTCGTGCGTCTTGCCCTGGGATGGCAGCGTGTGAGGGATTACATGTTTTGGAATAAAAAAAAATAAAAAATAGTTTTAAATTAAAACATTAAAAGAGAGATATATATATATATTATCTAAAAGCAATATAGTTGCAAAAAAGCACTGTAAAATATATATTAAAATGGTTAAAACTGTGGAAAAAAAAAAACTTTTTTGATAAGTTTACAGATCAGTGTCTTCATAACAACTTGTATGGTGGTGAATATTCTGGCTGGCCAGGCTCTATTACTCTCATTTATGGCTCATGAATCTCATCAGAATTAACTGCTCTGATGGGTGACGTTCGGTTTTGACAAGAGCTGTGTCTGTTTTCTTCCTTCATTGGGTTCCCCCCCCCCCTCCTTCATGCTGAAATCCTTTTATGTCCCCAGTCTCTCACCCCATCTTGTTTTAATTGCTTTATAAATCAGCCTAGCTTTTTTTCCTCCCCAAGATGACCTTGCTTCCAATCCTACTGTAGAGAAACAACACTGTCACCCGTTCAGTAACATTTCATCATGGCAGTCCTAATTAACCTATTAATTACTATAATGTGGGGCTGATGTGGTACAATTGTTACTCAGAAGGCATTCCTCTTTCACGCACAACCTCTAGATACAATGTTTGTTCTTCTCCAAAGTAGGATACGATCAAGGCATTTAACTATGGCTTTCAATTCAAGTTAAAGGTTTACATTTGGGGTTCGTAGGACTGGGGTTTTAAGCAGACCCCCTAGTCCCTGGCCAGCCATGCACCAGTTGATCCATTAACATCCTCTCCCCTTTTAGATATAGTGCTGTGCTGTGAGCGTATTGGAGTTTTTTCTAAGCCAAATCACGCACACACACAACTGATTAAAGTGCCAACTGTTAGTTGATGAGGTTTCATTATCTGCAACGACTTAGTGAGGGCGTTGCCTTTTAAAAACGCTTCTGATTGTGTATAATTTTAACACTAGCGATCTCTTAGTGTTGTCAATGTAGATTTTACTGTGAACAGTATCTGTGATTTTTAGCTGTTTTTGATCCCTCCGGGGCAAGGCTCAACCAGCCATCGCAGGCTCCGATAGTCGTTTACCTGCATGTTCTTTTTCCGTGGGGCATCTTTATGTCGGCTTCAGTCAGTACTTCCCTGCATGCTCGTTTAGCTGAGATAGTGTTCATTTCCGGCGTGTGTCTACCTGTCACAGCACAGGTTCCTCCAAGGGCCATTTTTATTGATTTTATTTTCTAGTATAAGCCTTTTTGTTCTCCAACTTGTCACCTCCTCCATGTTTCTGAGTGCCAACTAGCCAGATCATTTTGTTAACCTCTACATTTGGGCCACCTCAAGCCACTGAAAATGTGGCCATTCATAAACCCAGCATCTTCTCATGCTATGCATGCAGTCGTAAAACAATAAAAACAAAAACAAAATCAATGGACAAAGAAAGTAATTAAAATAGTAAATAATAATTGCCTACCTCTGGATCATCAGGCTGAGAAATTCCCAAACAACAGTTTTCCTTCCATCTCAACTTCAATTCATTGATAACGTCCATCATAACCAACTCAGTGACATTTTCCGCTGCTCCTCCTGTGCAACCGATAACTGAACAATGATTGTGATGTCCTCTCGTCTGGCTTCTCGTCCAGCATCTCTCTTTCTGAACTGTGATCTTTTGTTTCCTTATTTTTTTTAAGGTTTATCTTTTTTTTTGTATTAGTTCATTGAACTTAAAAAATGACCTTCATCACTATTTTGGTTTATTGAGTCAACAGTGTCCCATGTTCAGTGGATACTGGAGACTGGAATATTGATTTAAGACCTCCTTCCTGTCAGTTCCCTTACCCTTAACTTTCCTGCCTTACTCCTGTACAGTTTCTGTTCACTGTTATGAGCCCCCCAACTTCCCAGAGGCCTGTGAGGTATGCTGGGGTGCCCAAAAGGTGTGTCACAGGCCTCTAAAGTTTGGGGGAAACCAGCCATTCCAATCTGATGATCAAGTCAATTTCTTCTTACTTTCCTTCCATTTTCACTTTCTCTTTGATTACAGAAAGAAAAAAAAACATTTTCAAGAAGAGAAAACTGATATATATTAAAAAAAAGGAATGATATTGCTTGTTTTTAAAAATGGAAAGAGCAAAGCTGTCGTACAAACTGTGTTTTAATTGGTAATGGTTATTTATCGTTAATAGTCTCTGTAGCTCTGTAAGTTTTTATGACAATACAGTGTAACTAGTGGTTAGCCGATGATGCGAATATATTTACTCATATCATTATAAATGTGCTTTGTTCATCATGTACCATCACTGTCTCCCGTCTCATTATTTTCCTTGCATGTCACTAGTTTCAATTCATTTATAATACATTAACAGTGAATAATACCTCTCAGATTTTTTTCCCCACTGTCCTGGTGTTAGCAGGTGCACCAACACAGAGCTGCAGGTCATCAGCTTTTCATGCTCAGATATCCTCCTTAAAATGAACATGCTGCACCGGATGCTACCTTGATTACAGCCGTCAGCCTCTCATGACGTGTTGTATGTGGCACTAACTATGCTCTGCTTCTGGTTAACTGTGTGGTGACATGACAGCAGCAGGGCACATTTCATGAGGGTCATCCCTTGTCTCTAGAATATTATCTTCTATTCTCTACAGAGAAAAGGGTGGGAAGATAGTCCCAAGTTCACAGCACATTGCAGCATATTCATTTTGCAATAAAGGCAGCAGCAGAGCTATTTTTATCATGGAATAGAAAGAGCTGCTTCACACTTTAAAATACCAAGAGCTGTGAGAGGCAGAGAAGTGGCTTCTGAGGGATCTGTTTATATGAACTCATGGGGGGAAATGTTACAAACCCTTTGTCATATCTTTCTATCCTAACAGTATCTCGGAATCATACATTCCATTCACAGTGTGAGAACCCTGCACCCTCTGGTTCAGACTGTGTGTAATGTGGGAGCTGGGCTTCCTCTCAGCCAATTACATGGATGTTTCTACAGCCATCTCTGATGACATGTTGCAGCCATTTCTGACAACAAGGCACCTTTATAGTGGTAATAAGTTTTTCTTAACAAAACATGTGGGGGACAACGATTATAAATAGCACCTGCCCTTAGCAACCAACCAGGAATGAGCTTCCTTCCGTTTAATAAAGTCACAGAAATAACAGCTGGTTTTTGATTGGTTGCTTGAGGAAACTATATGAATTGCCCTACCATATTGCCATTTTTTTTTTAAATAAAGTCACTTGCTATATTCAGTGCTTTTTGTTCTTGCATAGAAGATGTAACTTGCTCTGCTTTCAGTGCAGCCATCACAGCCAATGCCTCAGTGATTTACTGCCACCGCCATGTAGTTAATAACAGGTGACAGAACAGTACCACATATTTCCATGTTTCAGAAATGGTTATTCTTCCAAAGCCGTTGAGTGCTTTTTAAGTGCCTTCTTGTCATTTTAAGCGGCCTGCAACATATCAGTAGCTCCTAAATCTCTGGCACAGGAGGGTCTCTAAGGCATTTCATTGTAGTCCCTCTTCAGCACTGAGAGGGTTAAGTGTCCATTTCTATGTATAGCTCATGGGTGTTTTCAATGGATCTATTTCCTTCCTCAGTCTTGAAAACCTGACAGAAGGAACCACAATTATAACTTCACCACGAGGGGGGCGGTTCACAAAGAAAAGGTTTCTTTGCCTGTCATTTCGAATCATAACCAGCAGCACGTCTCGAAGCGGAGGACTACACAGGAAGCTGCTTTTGTCTTGTAAAAGAATGCCCGACCCATTCATGTCTTGACAATGTGCTTCTTTACAGCATCACCATTAACTCAGCTTCACTCATAGATTCTCCTGCACCTAGCACCTCCTGTACAGTCTTACCCCTCCATCCCTCAGCACTTTAGTACAAGAAAGGTGTACAAAGCAGCACTGTCCTCCTTTCTTATATTGCAGAATGATAAAGAACCTGGCTATTTGCCAGTAGCACAAAGCAGTTGCACTTTATGGACATTGACTAGAGCAAGCTAGATTTAGCAACACTTTCTTTACTGGGTGTTGCTATACCATTGTTTTGAATAGGTGTTTTATAGTTTGCTCCTATACAATCTTGGGTCAGACTTACTAAAACAAAATCCAGTGGGGAGTTGCCATGTTGTAAGCCATAATTCAACACAGAAATACATTTTGCAATAGTCTCTGAGTCTCTATTACTCAGATGTTGCCCCTTGCCTTTCCTTTTTTTTATTCTGTAGCTCACAGTTGTGGTGTAAACCAGTCACTCAATTATGCCTTGTCACACTCTAATTCTGTCCAAGCAGGAGCTCCTATACATGGACCATTGGGACTGGCTCGGGATTGCCATGGATACAGAAACCCTGCCAGCCCGCTCAGCTGTACTCTGGAATGCTCAATTCATCCTTTGCAAAATGGGGGAATTTAAATGCTAATGCTTATTTCAGAACATGATTGACACAGTTTTAATGCATTCAGCAGAACAGACCTCTTATCCGCTAACAGAGGACCTCAGTTACTAGTTCCTGCATTTTAGAAGGGCTTAGTGTTAGTTTTGCTTTGCTTGTGTTTAGAGTTGTATTGATGTAATATAGTGCTTGCAGTGTTTACAGGGCTACAATTATACTGGATATACACTTGCATAAGAGGTAACATTATAGTGGTCAGTAGAAGAGGCACTGGCAGATGAAGCGATATTGCTCAGTTTATAAAAATGAAACATTGAGGAAGGAATAGAACCCAGGCCTTTACAGAAAAGAATTACAGATTATTGCATGTGCTCTAACAGGATTAACCCCTACAACTTGCATGAGATGTACACTTTGCTTTTATCACACTCCAGATACTGTATGTACCTACTACTGTGTTTGCTCTCCATTGTTAAACTACTAGGGGCCTATATATGACATGCGTAAAGGTGCCCATACACTGCACGATTATCGTACGATAATCGTATGCGATCGGTTTTTCGTACGATAATCGAGCAGTGTGAACGGAGACGTGCGACCGTTTCTACTGTACGGTCGCACGTCTTCTGTCGAACCAGCATGTTCAAAAACCAGCCGCGAATCGTACGATTCTCGGCTGGTTAGAACGGTGCTCGGAAGACAAATGCCGAACGGGCCGGTGTGCGCACGCGCACACTGCCCGTTCAGCATTGCGGTCATCGGAAGCCCGCCCCTCAGGGGGGCGGGCTTGCGATGATCGAGAGTGCGATCTGCCTGTCCAAGATAGGCAGATCGTACGTTTTTTTAATCCCTGTACAACCATCGCAAGACTAAGGTCTTGCGATGGTTGTAGAGTGTATGGCCACCTTTAAGAGCGGTGATGGACTCTAAGCCCTACCAACTAGCCATTACCAGCAAATAATTAAAGCTGAGCTCTGAGCAAGGGATTAGGAAAAGTCACAGATTTTTTGAAAAGAAGACATTAGATCAAATGCTAGTTTATAAAAGCTGCATTTTTCCATAACACATGTTGTGTAAGTTAAGCAAAAATACAAACACTCATTATTACTTAATGGAAGTCCGTACTGGGAAAGTTTGGTGGCTGTCATGATAAAACAATGGTTTCAGCACTCTCTAAGTAACTGGTCTAAAACAAATACTGTATGCAGATCTGAAGTTCTGACTTAATTCTGGTTTTCTTGACCAGCATGCTTGTTTCAGGTCAGTGACTTATAAAATAAAAATTAAAGGCATTGTATCCGAATTATTACCAAACAACCAGCATTGTAAAGGGAGGTTAGCAGGCGAAGTTTGCATGAAGGTCAAACCCACCCACTAGCTAATTATACCCCTGTGACTGTAGAATCTCTGGTTTTGAGTTCCTAACTCAGTACACCTGCTACAACCATTGTCAGGCATCTCTGTATAAAATAAGTCAAGGCAACTGGACTTGCTGTATTTTTCTGATATTTTTTTCCAGTTGTCTTGACTTATTTTTTACAGATATACCATGACATGGATAAATGAGAGCCTTCACAGACATTGTCAGGCATGCTTTTTTATGGAACTCTCCATTTACTGCACCATAAAGTGTGGGACTCGCTGCTGCAGACCTTCAGAGAGATAAGAAGCCAGTGGGTGATGAACCTTATAGGTGATTCATGTTTAAGTAAACCAGTGTACTATCTAAAATGAGGTAACTGTCACTTACATGGTAAAAAGGGCACCTCTAGCTGCCTGTAAACTCTTTCTGTTGTCCTGTAAAACATCCTTAGGAAAGCCAGAAAACCAGGGCTTTCTAAAAATACAAATAATGACCAACTCGAACCCACCTCCCACTCTCAATTGGTTAATAAAATCACTCATCACAATGATGGGCCAATGAAGCACAGAAGGTGGTGGGGCCAGCATGGTGACCCGGTCACTAGGTGGTTTTTCAGGATCCGAGGGTGCTGTACAGAATAAAGACAATTTTTC